AATAAATAATATTAATGTATAATTAAAATTAATTTTTAATTTATTAAACTAATATTTATTAATACTAGTATATTTAAACTTTATTAATATTTATTTATAATTTATAGTAGTAAATAATAACTAATATTAATGAGAGTCATAACTGAAAAAAGTGACAACAAGCTACCAAAATGTTACTTCAAATAGTGTTTCAATAAATAAGGTAGCTTATGAGTATCCAAACATGTATCAATAAAATAAACTTGAATATTTTTACCAAACAATGTCTAAATTGGATGGACGCTATTAACCCACCACGGAAAATACTATTTGGAGCCTAATCATTTTATATTTATGTCGATATATGATTAATTACGCATATATATGACATAACGATGTTATGTTTCCGATCATTATATTTGACATAACAAAAAAAATCTATAATATATTATAAAGTATTAATTAATGAAATTTTTTTACGAAATTGTTTAATATGATGAAATTGTTTTAAAAAAATTATTTTAATGATAAAAATGTTCCATATGTTTTTGTCTTTGTGTCAAAATTAAATTGTTCCATATATTTCTCATTTTGATGAAATTTGTTTACTAAAATTAATAAAATGAAGATGATAATGTCTATAATTATTTGAAATAAATTATTCAAAACAATTTCACCATATTAAACAATTTTATGAAATTTTTTCACTAAAATAAACGATGAAATCGACCATTTTCAGGGTTTGTACAAATAACTTGGTTTACAAAATAACCGTCACACACACATACACATATACAGGAAAGTTTATTTTACAAACCATGTAATTCTTAAAAAATTTACAAAACCGATCTCAACCATACATGTAAATAATCAATTGTGTGGATTAAATCGTTCTTAAATTTACCATCAACCGCATTTTGTAACCCCTTTAAATTTCAAAATAAACAAAATTAACGGTTAAGATTATATTTGAAACTTCCCCTATATATTATATATATAAAAGTAGAAAAACAAAAAAGCATGAAAAACAGTTAAAAATATATGAATATGGATGTCGAATTAATAAGAAAAATATGATTATTTTTTTGTATAATTTATTTCGCTCGAATTGTATTTATTATTTGCTTTTCGAATAAAAATAGAGGGCTAAGGTTCTTTAATTTAAAAAAATATTGTGGTAACTGCTCATTTAATCAAAGATAATTAATCTTATCAATTATTTTTTAGTTTTTTTATTTATTTAGAGTTTTTCCTTACATCTTTCTATATATTATTTTAATTAAAGTTGTTTTTCGCAGGAAAATGACAAAAAGTAGTAAAAATAAAAAATGTCTCATTTAACGGGCTTTTAACGGTGTACAAAAATGTAAACCACGTCCCATAACTATTTTGATTTAGAGGCATATAATGCAATGTCGTGTTAACCATAGGGACCAAGAATGTAATTTATTCCTAAAAATATTAATAAATCAATAACGAAATACTCGGTATTTATTTTTACAAAATGATAATTAATACTAATTAATAAAACAAATTAATTATTAAATACTAATTTAATTTATTTAATATTTAATAAAATATTTGCAGCATAATTGGGAGAAACATAATGACAAAAAGCTCCTCTAGTTTATTAAAAATAACTAGTTTATCGATTAGTTTTTTTTATTAACCTAAATATCCAACCCACTGTGCTAGCCGGCTAATCCTAGGACGACCATTTATTTTACGGTTAGCATGAAGTTACCATATTTGAACATCCGTGGGCACAAGAGAATTTTTATTTCTCATTGGATTTTAACACTTTTGACCTTTGGAGCCCAAGCTCAAACTAATCAGACATCACCCATGTTTTTTTTAAAGGCAAAAAGGAAGGACAAGGAAGAGAGCTTTGGCATGACCATCACCCTCACCAAGCCAACCAATATATAAAACAACAGATCCAGCAAGAAGCTAGACACAAGAAATACAAAAATCCACCAAAACAAAACGAGAAACAAGAGAAACAAAACCGAAACAGCCCCACAAAAAACCGAGGCAAAAACCTAACCCAAACAGACAGAACGACTAAATAAAATAAGGAGAGGAAGACCAACTATCCCAATTAAGATGGAACTTACGATTTCTGTTCCCCATCCAAAGCTTCGATAAATTTTGAACACAAGGGAATGTATCTTCACCTTTCTTCTTAGTTTTCACCCCATCTTCAGCATGAAGAATTTCATTCCGCCACTTCCAAAGTTGCCAAAGTGCCACAACGCAAACTGATAAAAAAGTCACTTCAACCTTGTGATGAGATCCTACTTGTTTGATTAGCATTTTAAAATCAGCCACCGATGAAAGACGTGGAGCTTTAAGATCCCACCAGGCCCAAATTTTTCTCCAAAGAATGCTTGCCACCGAACAAGAAAAGAAACAATGATCCATTGTTTCAACACCTTTCTCACACATGATGCACTCCAAAGACTGTAATGAATCCCTCTCTTTGAAAGATTAAACCTTACGGGAATAGCCTCTTTAAGGAAACGCCAAGTGAAAATGTTTACCTTCTTCGGAATTAAAGGGCTCCAAAAACACGTTTCATTGCTTCCACCATTCGAATCAACTACCCCTTGGATTAACTTTGACATGTGGTTGATCGAGAAAATCCCTTTCTTGTTCCAATTCCAAGACCACACATCCTCGCCCGAAGTATTAAAAGGCGTTTGAGAGAGTTGCCTTTCTAAAGCTAGGAGATCATCTAAGCATCTTCCTCTAATCGTTGTTTTCCAGTCCCAAGCACCACACCAAGAACCATTAATATAGGTCCATCTATCTTTGAAGACGGCATTTTCATCCCTTTCCAAAGCATAAAGTCTAGGGAATAGATCTTTCAGCTTTGACCCTTGACCAATGCTTGCATCTTTCCAAAAGAGAGAGTTAGACTCTTTAGCAATCTGTTTCGTAAACGAGTGAATTACATTCTGACCTGCCACTTTCACATTCCTGCAAGTGTTGACAATAGAAACCCATACACTATTTCCAGCTAAAGGCCTATTAGAAAAGAGACCACCACCCTCGCCATAAAATTCAGAAATTACATCCTTCCATATTGCATTAGAACTAGACAGGAACCTCCAGACCCATTTTGCTAACAAAGCATCATTTTTAACTTTTAAACAGACGACACCCAAACCACCTTTTGACTTGGAGAACAAGATTTTCTCCTAAGCAACCCAATGCATTTTTTTTCCTCCTCTTTATGTCCCCAAAAAAATCTTCTCCTTATAGATTCCAAAGTTTTAATAACTGAATTGGGCGCTTTGAAGAGAGAAAAGTAGAACAGCGGAAGGGAAGATAACACCGACTGGATCAGAGTAAATCTTTCGCCTATGAAAAGGCAGTTTGACTTCCAATTTGATAGCTTTTTAAGGAATTTATCTTCCACAACAGACCATGAAGCTTTTTTCTTCATGTTACCACCAACGGGAAGCCCCAGATAAATGAAAGGAAAAGAAGAGGCATTGCACTTTAACATACCTGCCATATTGTTGACCTCCGCCTCCGAAACTCCAATACCAAAAAGATTGCATTTAGATAAATTTATCCGCAGTCCTGAAACTTCATGAAAGCAATTAAGAATATTAGTAAGAGTTACTAAATTCTTACGCGACCATTTACCGAAAATTAAAGCGTCATCTGCAAATTGAAGGAGAAAAAGATTCCAATTAGACTTTGCAAGCCGGATGCCCTTAAACAGCCCCTGGTTGCAAGCAGATCTGATCATGAGCTGTAAGACTTCCCCTAGAAGCAAAAAAAGAAACAGAGTAAGAGGATCTCCTTGCCTTAGTCCCCTTTGCATGTGAAACTCATCGAAAGGCGTTCCATTTATCAAAATGGACGTAGAAGCAGATTTCAAGCAAACTCTAATCCAATTGATCCATTTCTCTCCGAACCCCATTTGCTTCATAGTATGAAAGAGAAAATTCCAGTTAACCGAATCATAGGCCTTTTCAAAATCCACCTTGAAGAGAAACATTTTTATTTTCTTCTTTTTGGCATGATTCACAATTTCATTTGATATCAAGAAACCATCCAACATTTGCCTTCCCGGGATGTAGGCAGATTAATTGCCACTAACGAGCTTGCTCATAACCTTCACCAATCTATTATTCAGAAGCTTAGCAATTATTTTGTACATACAACCAAGTAAACAAATGGGCCTATAGTCCGAGATATCCAAGGGATCGATTTTTTTAGGAATTAAAGCAATAAAAGGAGCATTGCATCCCTTGGTTATCCTGCCCGATTTTTCGAAGAAAGTAACCGCCTCAATAATAGACCTGCCAATCACTGACCAAAATTTCTTAATGAAATTAAAATTTAGACCATCAGGCCCAGGAGCTTTCGACCCATTGCAAGACTAAGCAGCCTCCTTTATTTCCAAAGCAGAAAAAGCGATTCCAGGAAAACGACGCCATTAGACGATAATTTAGCGAAAAGAGGACTGATGAACTTTGGTCTAGAGGAGCAAGGCTCTTTGAATCTGTCGGCAAAGTGCTATAAGAAAGCACTTTTGACAACCAAAGGATCCGAGTTCCAAACCCCGTTGCAAATAATCCCTTTAATATTGTTCCTTCTCCGACGATAGTTAACGAAATTATGAAAAAACTTTGAATTTTCATCCCCTTCTAAAGCCCATTTAGAGCGCGATTTTTGTTGGATATCCAACTTTGCTCGATTTTCCAAAAGCATCAGTTCAAAAATCCATTCATCTCTTTTTTGGCAGTCGACAGCTAAAATACCCCCCTTTTCAGCTTTAGAATCCCAATCAAACAAGGCTTTAAGAATCTCATCTTTCCTTTTTGATTCATTGGCTAAATTTTTTTTTGACCAAATTCTCAAGTCTTTCTTGAGAGCGTTAACCTTCTCCTTTAACACAAAATCAACAGCCCCAAGGAAAGAGGTTGAAGACCAAGAAGAAAGGACCGTTTTTTGAAAGTCATCAATACCCAACCATGAGTCAAAACCTCTAAATGGTTTAGGCCCCATACAAAAATCATTAACTTTCAAAAGAATAGGGCAATGATCTGAAATAGATCTATGTAAAACCTGCACTGAAGGATCCTTCCAAATAGAGAAAAAGTTAGAAGTTACCAGGAAACGATCAAGCTTGCTCATCTTAGAACCATCCTTGCTAAATCTGGTGAAGCGTCTGCCGCAAAAATTAATATCGAGAAGCCCAGAAGAAGAAATAAAATTGTTGAAATCTGAAGCCTCTTTAGAGTCAAAATTAGATCCCATTCTTTCTTCAGGAAAGCGAACCGCATTGAAATCCCCCAATATTACCCATATAACATCCAAGGCACTCTGAATCACCGAGCTAAGATCCTCCCAGACTTTTGTCTTTTGCACCTGAGCTTGAGGATTGTAGACATTAATCATACCAACTTTCTTATTCACATTTTGCCACAAACCAACCACCCCACAGAAATGGTCCCCCTTAATTTCTGACTCTTTAAAGAAAACACTATCGTCCCAAGATAAAAGAATACTCCCGGAGCGGCCAGAATCACAAAGACATAGCCAAAGCTCCTGCTTCCCCAAATCGACGCAAACCAAGCATCTGAAAAAACTATCACATTTCGTTTCCTGCAAACCTAACACAGAACACTTCTCCTTTTGCACAAGATCCTTTATATTGCCAGACTTTCCATTTGCTTTCATCCCACAACAGTTTAAAGAAAGAATCTTCATGACAAGAAGAAAAATACCCAAAAAAGAAAACGAAAACCACGGGTGTTCAGCACAAAGAAACACCCTGCAACCTGTTTTCAGCACCCCTTGCTTTTTCCTCATTGTATTGAACTCTGATAGCATTTTCGATCGCCTCCTTTGACTCAGCCACAACTTCAACAGAGATAGGCCGAGAGCTATGGGAAGATGAAGATCTGCAATTGCCAGAGAATTCAAGACCAAATTTTGAGTTTTTATTAAATTGGGCTTGTTGATTATGGGCTTCCACAGAAAATTTGGAAATAGAGCTCTGGGCCTGATGCTTAGGCCTTTTAACCGAACCCGGGTTTTGATTAGGGATCAAAACATTCTCAGTTTCTAAAGGAACTGACTTTTTAGAGGACTTGTCTTCATCCCATGATTGCAAATTGCACCCTTCAATCCTTTTATCTGAGAATTCTGGCGATACACAGTCAATTGAAAGAGAGTCTGATATGCCGCCGCATGAGCCAACATCGTTCTCATAATCCGAATCAAACCCAGATCGAACGTCATTGGAAAGGGGCAATAAAATTATTCGGTTATGGTCTTCGAGAACCTTCACATAACACATTTTATCACCTACATTCACCTTCACCACTAAATTCACACAAGCCATACTAGTAGCTAACAAGACACCAAAAGAACATACCATATCGTTATCGAAAGAAGGCTTGTCGGTTTCAAGAACCTCCCCAAACATCTCTGCAATTTTTTTAATGTTTGCGTCACACCAGGCTTCTAAAGGCAAACCTTGAATGTCAATCCAAGTCAACCTCTCCGGACAAAGAAACTTCTCATTCCACATTTTAATATCCTGGAACCAGTGTTTTAGCATATCTTTATTTTCAACTAAACACTTATCGGCCACCTCTTCTGAGCTCCATTCACAAAGAACAAACAAACCTCCCACATATTGCAATTTGCAAGCACCTATTCCATCTTCTTGAAGAATTTTCTTTAAGTTTCTAAGCAATTCAATACTTTTGACCCTTCCCACCCAACTCTTAAGCAGCCTTTCCACACAATCCATGTTGATTTCTGCTTGGATGACCTTCTTTTCACCTTTCTGAAGATTCTCGCCAAGAACAACCTGCTTAAACGACCTACCATCCACACAACCTGGCTTGATGTTTTCAGCATGTCGATTAGGCGGGATCCATGCCTCCTTTCWATTRACCATTTTAGCCTGYTGGTGCGTCTTTTCCCCMWWAWWAWYCYYTTTTTTCCATTGCCATACTTCTCCAGATTGATAATCAGACTCTTTGTGCCTATAGTAATGCTTTTAAGCTTCCTTTCTAAAGCTTTCTCATCACCATCATGAATGAATTTTACGAAACCAAACCTGGTCCCCTTACTCGTGCGCTTTCTAGCTAAATAAAGRGACGAAAWTCRACCAAACCTTTTGAACATGCTCTCCAAAGCTACCTCATCCCAATTTTCTGGAAATCTAGTGAAGAAGAAATTAGACACCCTACCTYTGCGCCTGCCTTTCCTATCCACCTTCTGCCAACCATCGGTTTCAATCACACCTTTCTTCTCCGCTGTTGCTACTGCCATCGCTGCCAGAAAAACCCTGAGAAAACGCCTGGAAGATGAAGGGATGCCTGGAGGTCGCCTGGAAATCGCCTCGCCTGGAAGCTTACCTCACCCTGAAGGTCGTCTTGCCTGAAGAACGTTGGAGAATCGCCTGAAAACTCTCCTGGAAGACGAAGAGCCGCCTCGAAGTTTCGCCTGGAGTTTCGCCTTTGTTAGTAAGTAATATCAGACATCACCCATGTGGTTTTAGTTTATCAGCTAGTTTATATCCACGCAAACGAGTTTTTTTTCAATAAGTTCAAAAAATAAACTAGTTTATGGTTGAGAAACATGACTTTAATTTATGCTTAATCATTAACTTTTTGTTAATTATTAATTATTAGAGTAAGGGTTTCTTAATTGATGTCTAATTTTTAACTATTGTGTTAACTATTTAATTCTTTTATTACTTCACTAGAAAAAAAAGTTAATTGCTTTATTATTGCATCTTTATTTGGTTTTTAAACTTTTTGTAACAATTTTAATTTAATAATTTCATATATAAATATTTATTAACGTGACATGTATGCATATTTGTATGACAAACATAGTGTTTAATAAGGCTAATTTGTGGAGTAGTCGTAGTGGTATGTAGTAGTTCAAGACTTGTGTTCGACGTTATTTTAACCCATGGTATGTCGTCGTCAGGACTAAGGATGAAGCAAGAAAATGTATCTCAGAATGTCTTAAAACAATATAAGAAAATTCATAAGATATTTTCAAATATATGGTATTATATTAAATATTTATCTGTAAAAATAGTTACTAAAAAAAGACAACCGAAGTATGAGTGAGCTAAAGAACATAATTATGTGTATATTTCCACAAATAAATACAAGATGTATGTAGATAAACATATGAACAAAAAAAATTCTTTGAAAATACATGCAAATTGTTGTAAAAACTTTGTTTATGAAATAAAACTGTAACTAATTTAGAACCTTTAAAAATTTTGGCAGTTTTTGGAGGAAGAAAAAGAAATTTTTTATATAAATAAACAAATATGTTACCAATATGATTTGTTTTATGCGCCACTAGTCATCGTCATCGATATCAAAACTTCAATGTAAGTTCTAATGATTAGTAATGGTGGAACACAAAATTCCGACCCCCAATTAATAATCGTCCATTTATACATTCATTACCATGTCAAGACCCTCTTTAAGTGTTGGCAATACATGACCTTTTATGCATCTCTTAATGTATTATTCCATTTGTATAGTTGTAGCAACGAAAAAGATAAGTTCCAAACAAAACATTGACCTAGGTGACTAAAGCCTTGATCTCGACTTGCAAGAAACTCGTGCAAGTCAGTGGATGGTCCGCACGTCCCTAGTCGCGACCCAAGTTGTGGCCATGATCACACTACCAAACAGGACCTCTTTTCCGGCGGATAAATCCGTCGAAATTAGGTTTTTCCGGCGGATTTCCGACGGATTTGTCCGTCGAAAAAGAGGGCGCCGGTGATTCGTTTTCCATCGAGTTTTCCGGCGGATGCTTTATTTTTCTGACGGATTTCGGCCGCCTGAAACCTTTCGCCGGCTTAATTAGGAAAATTTGATTTTACTTAATAAAAAAATTAAGAAAATTTTTAAAATGAAAATTTAATTTACCGGCGGATATTTCCGCCGGATTTTTTTTCTCGCCGGAAAATTATTTTAATAAAATTAGATTTTCAAAAAAACTTTTTAAAATATTACCGGCGGATATTTTTGCCGGAAATCTGCCGGTTATGTTATTTATTTTTTTAATATTTATTTAAAGATTTATTTAGTTTTTAAATATTATTAAAAAAATTCAATGTTACTCCGCCGGAAATCCACCGGAATAAAAAATTTATTTTTTATTTATTGTTAAACCTGTAAATTTGTAAAAATATGAATAAAACTAAAAATTAAAATGCAACCAAATATCATACATTAAACTAAACAATTGTTACAAACAAACAATATACAATTTAAAGTATCACACAATGTTACAAACAAACTAAATTGTTCCAAATAAACAAACGATATTCAATTAGGTGGCAGYGRGAATTGTGATTGACGGAGTTACATTAAACATAGCAGCCATATCATTAATTTGTGACTGAATGTGATAACCGAGTCATGGTTATTACCTACGGTATTTATTACGTGAATTAATTGCTTATATGAATACATGCTTACATGGATTAAAAATATGAAGTATGTGTTAGTATGCATGAAATTGGTATGTATAATGAAGTATGCATGTGAATATGCATACATGAGTGTACATGCATGTTATGTGTGTGAGTATGCATGCAAGTGGAAAAGAAGTGAGAGGCTATTATAGCTGACTTTCCTGAAAATGAAAGTATAAAAGGAGGGCTTAGCCTCCATTAGGGCTGTGCAAAAGCCGACCCTACCCGAATTACCCGACTTACCTGCCCGAAAAAACCCGACCCAAACAGAAAGAAATCGCCCGAAGAAACCCGATATCCGAATCCGAAATTTAACTCGGGTATGGCGGATCGGGTAGGATCTCACGATCCACCCCCCGAACCCGCCCGAAACCCGAACTACCCAAAATAAGCGACTTATGTTAGGGACTTGGGGTTAGGTGAAAATTGACGCGAGAAGAGAATACGGCTAGGCTAAACTACGGATACCCCATATGGCCATACCCGAACTAGTGGACTACAGACCGCCGACTAGTAGTGGTGACCGACTCCGACTCCGACCAGCTACCGACTGGTGAGTGCCCCTTGTTAAATTCTAAAATGCCAACCCACAACAGAAAGTCACAAATATATATACATATATGTATGTATATATATATATATATATTGCTTCATATAAATTTGTAGTCGTGTTCTTACAGAATCTGTTGTTTTCACTTTCACACACTTCTCACTAGCCGGGTGTCTTTACGAAAACAACCGCTCTACCGAGTGGGATTGTTGTTTTTCGTACCCGATATCACCCGAAACAGCCCGAACCCGATATGACCCGAACCCGATTAGACCCGAACCCTGAACACTATGATTCGGGCTGTGGATTTATACCCCGAAACCCGATCGGGTTAGCCATTTTTGGGTCCGATCCGACCCGACCCGACCGATGCACAGCCCTAGCCTCCATTCTCTTCTTCTTGCCACTTTTATTAACTGATTGAGCAATTTAAAAGAGAGAGGGAAGTTGACCGGATTATTTTGGAAGCAAGAAGTAGATTCAATCTGATTTTCAAAAGAATTGCATAAGGTGATTGATCTAAAATGTTTTACTCTTTGAAATGCATGAATTGTTTGTATCACCTTTTTATTTAGTTTGAAGTTTAAACCGTATGAGTATTATCCGGATTTCACCTAAACCGGATAAGGGTTGGACGATTTAATATATAAATCGAGCAAG